GTTCATAGAATTGCTGTGAGTCAAAGAGAGCTCTGCTGGCCTAGTGTGTAGAAAGTTATGCTACCAAGACAAAGGTGAGTAATAGTAATCTGTGGCCCTCAGGCCTGGTTTTAATTGTTTTTGGTCAGACATTCTTTTAAGTGGTATAACACTGGTTTGTCAGGTGGCTGTACAGAGGTAACTCATAGTTGCCATGATGCTAAACACTGTGACACTGAAGTGACAAATACAATAATGGCTATCCATGGTGGACAGTGTTTGATGGAGCTCCCAGATTAAATGGGCTTGGAAGAAGGAGTGGCATCTACTTCCAAAATAGCTTGCCTCCAGAAACTATGAACTTAGCAAAACAATGAAAATTATACAAATATCTAGGTCTTTATTTCATAGGGTCACTAGGAGTCATCTACGCCTCGACGGCACTTAGCAACAACAGCATTCCTTCTTTACTATTTCCTACTTTTGAATTCCAGTCACCAGTTATCATTAACACATTCTGATTGCATGTTTGGTTAATCTCAGACTGCAAAATTTGGTAAAAATTCTCAATTTATTCCTCTGGCACTAGATATAGGAGCATATACAGGTCATTCTTGTATGTGTGTGGATACAACTTGTTTGGATCCACAGTTAACACCCTTGGTATGAGCAGTCAGGAAATAAGGAGATAAATTTCACTGGGAAAATCTGCAGTTAGGGATCTTTTCAAATTATAGAGGAGTAGTGATGTCAGTTTGAGGACTAAGATGTGTCTGGTTCAGGCCGTAGTCTTTCTGATTACTAGCTATGCATTCAAGACCTGGACAGTGAATAAGGATGACAGAAAAAGAATTGATGCCTTTGATCAGTGGTGTTAGAGAGAAACACTGAACATTGCAGGGACTGCCAAAAGAATGAATAGATAATGTCTTGGAGAGAGTGCAGCCAGAGTGCTTTTTGAAGGCAAGAATGATAAGGCTTCACCTCACATACTTTGGACATATTGCTAGGAGAAGCTGTTCCTTAGAGATGAACATGATACTGGGAAGAGTGGAGGGTCGGCAAAGGAGAGGAAGACTCTCAACCAGGTGGATTGATACAGTGATTGCTGCAGTGGGCTCCTCTGTCTCAGGAAGTGTTAGGATGGCAAAGGACAGGACTAGGTTTAGATCTTTAGTTCATAAGGTTGCTATGAGTTGTACTCGACTCAATGCTACCTAACAACAACAACAATGGTAAGAAGCTGTGCTACAAACCCTGTAACAACAGGTACGTGGTTGTAAGCACAAACTAAAGCTTAGGGGCTGCACTTTTGGGACCTTACTACTTTCCTGGGCCTTTTCACTGAGCAGTATATCCTGGGAAGCACTCCTAGGACTTAACCTACTCCTGCAATCATAGTTCAAATCCACCAGCTGCTCCTCAGGAGAAACTTGAGCAGTCTCCTCCCATGTGATTAATTGTCTCAGAAAACCCAACAGAGTGTCAACTATGGATCCGTCTGACTCAGTGACACACACCACCACCACCACCATCTCACTGAGACTGGTTGAAAAAGAGCTATCTTAGAGGAAGTACTAGCAAGGTGCTTCTTAGAGGCAAGCATGGCAAAACCTCGTCTTACATACTTTGGACAGGTGGTCAGGAGGGGCCAGTCCAGGGAAAACATACCATGCTGGGCAAAGTAGAGATAAAGAGCTAAAGAGAAGAAGATGCTCAATTAAGTGGATCGTCACGTTGACACAGTGGGCTTGAGCGTGGCAGAGATTGTGAGGATGTAGGAGAGGACAAGGATTTGTCTGTTTTTAGGGTCAGTATTGGTTGTAGTCTGCTTGGTGACACCGAAAAATCGTATATTTCTACATTTTCATGATTTTGTACAATCTTTAATGATTCATTTTTGTGAAATGACTACATAATCTTTGGTTGGTATACCAGAATACATTGCTCTGGTGGCTTAGTGGCAAGAAACTGCGCTGCAATCCTGAAGGCCCATGGTTTGAGGCCACCAGCTGCTCCACAGGAGAAGGATGGGCAATCTCCTTCCGCAAAATTAACTGCCTCTGAAAACCCTCTGGAGGGTCAGCTGTGTGCGGGTTGGTTTGAACTTGACAGTATACAACAACAAACCATGCATGCTGCAGAGAGAAAAAGAGATATTTTGAATCATTAAACTGAATGCCTAGAAATAGGATTTTTGAAGTCTGAGTAGCATTTGCTAAATATTGCTATTTGGGTTTTTTTTAAAAAAAATTGGACAAATTTACAATGACACAAGTAATAGTTAAGGATACAAGCCAATAAACAAAAACTTATTCAAAGATAATGTGAATTATCCTGATTTTTGAAATGCAGCAATAAAATCATTACTTCCAAATATATGGTGTGTATCTGCTAAAATTAAATATCTATTTGTGATTTATGAAAATATTAAGGAATTCACTCTTTAAAAATGTGTAAATGGAGTATTCACAACTAACCATCAAAACTTTAATGTAAACTGAGTAAATGGAGTAGACAGGATTTCTTTCTTTTTTTTTTTTTTATTTAGTGAAAGTTTACAAAGACTTTGGATTTCAATTCATTCTTTGTTGCACTTTTCTCCCTACTCACCCCTCCCTCCAGTTTGCTTTTCTCTTGGAAAAGTAAAAGAAAAATTTTTTCATTGTTAGACAATCGCTCCCCCCAAGTCCACTCCGCTGTGCCGCCTTCATTCTGAACTCCTGAGTAGACAGGATTTTTAATGGTCAGTTTCAAACTAGCTCTGAAAACTGGTGTTGACATAATATTTTTCAAAAATTTATTGACTAAATAGCTTGGTAAACTGTGATAACATAATCCATGGCAAGTTACACTGCTGAGCCGAAAGTCAAGTGCCTCTGGTGGTTGGAATCCACCTGCTGCTACTTAGGAGAAGGACGAGCATTCACCTCTTCCAAGGATTGACAGCCTCAGAAACCCTACCAACTTGACAGTAGTGAGTTCTTGAAAAACTAATAATGAGATACTAAACTTCCAAAGAAAAGACCTACCCTACTGCCATTAAGTCAGTTTACACTCACAGAGACCCTGTGGGATAGTATAACTGCCCAGTGGGCATTCTAAGGCTATAAATCTCTACAGAAGTAGACCACAACATCTTTATCCCACAAAGCAACTGTGGATTCAAACCACTAACCTTTTCATTAGCTATCTAATGTTTTAACTAGACTCCTTTTGATGGAATCCTTATAGCCATATAATATAATAATGACACCAACTAAAATAATACTGGCATAGAAATTAACTTACCAGAAAGTGGGGGAAACTAGTTAACTTAGTAGCAGACTTAATATATAATTAAAACAAGTATTTCAGATTAGTAAAAACTCAAATTGTCATTGGGGCAGTTTTGTTAACTATTTGAGAGGAAAAGTTTTTAACCACCAGAGGTACCAAGAGAGAAAGATGGACAGTATCCTCTCATTCAATTTCTAGCTTCTGAAAGCATGCTGGAGGGTCAGCTGTGAGTGGATTCTGACTCAACAGCTGTGAGGATTGTCCTGGTGTAGACTCAGAATTACTAGGAAAAAATAAGTTAACTGAGATTGGCAAGGGTCTTTCTTCTACTGCACCTCTGATGGAATTCAAACTCCCAGCCTTTTGGCTAACCATTTAGAGCATTAACCAATTGCCGTTGGTGCATCCAATAATCACAAATGCATATAAACAAATATTGAGCAAAGCTATAGCAGTTCATCCTTATGATGTGTGGAAAAGCCAAAAATCTTGTGTGGGTTGGTGGTTTGTTTTTGGTGTTGGGTTTTTTGATTGTGTTTTGTGTGTGTTTTTTTTAATTGACATGAGAACAAGTAGTAAAGGTGCAAAGGACAAGTGACATTTTTTAAAATTTTGGTTCTTGTTTCCTTAACTGTATAACATGTTGGAGATCTTTAAAGCATTTAGCCTTTTAGGGGCTTTATCTACCCAAATAATACACCTACTAGATTAAAAAAATGTTACCGTGAACGTAGAGGAATATTATTTTTGATAAAAAAATCCAAACCAATTTACATAGTATTGCTCTCTCCAGAACTGATGTTCAACCAGCCTTACAGTGTATATTGGTTGTTAAAATAATGAAATGCATTCTTAGTGCTTAGTAAAGGCGTGCGGTTGTAAATTATCTGCCTGCCCTGCCACCACACAGTCTCTCTGACAGGAACTATTTTACTTCATCTCCCTATAGTCTAACAATTAAAAGTTTCTCAAAAATCTAAGAAGAGACCTGGTGCTTCTTCACTCCTCCTGCACCCACAGATTGCTGTTGCCTGGGCTGTCTCTATTATTTGACCATTTAAATACCACCTCAGTGTTCTGACTGTTTTAGTAAATTTTTTTTTTTCGTTTTTATTGTATTATTTTTTACGTGTACCGTCAAATCAGATCTGACTGGCACAGGAGGAGATTGCCCCCTCCTTCTCCAGCAGAGCATCTGGTGGATTTTAACCACGTACCTCTGTAATTGCAGTGCAGTGTCTTGCCATTAGGCCACCAGAGCTCCCTTTGTTTTAGTAAATTGTTACTGGTTAACAGTGTTTCCATTCTACCAATTAGAATATTAAATGGCTCTGTCTTATCTGGCATTGGTTCTCTGAGCAGAACCAAACTTTAGAGATTTGAGATTGAGTTTGATTTTAATTTCCTGATATTTTTGTTGTTATTTTTTATTGTTTTGTTTCTTTTTCTTTTGAGTGAAGTTTTAAAAATTATATTGGTTTTTCGTATAATCATTCATAAGCATTTTTTGGATTATGACATTAATTGCCATTAATTTCCATAGCTTGTTAATTACAGAGGGTTTGTTTGGGTTTGGTTTGTTGGTTGTTGTTTTTTTTAATAAACTAAATACCATTAAACGAAAACTGAAAAAGTCTCTTAAACTACAACTCTGTTTGGAGAGGATTTTGTTTGTTCTTTGTTTTTTCTCTGTAACGTTGACATTTGGGCCTGAGTTCTTTTTCTTCTACTTTTCCTTTCAGTTCACTTTGCACCCTATAGGCCTCCAGATATCTCCCTGAAGCCTCTGCTCTTTGAAGTGCCCAGCATCACTACCGAGTCTGTATTTGTTGGCCGGGACTGGGTTTTCCATGAAATTGATGCTCAACTGCAAAGTTCAAATGCCAGTGTGAACCAAGGAGTAGTGATTGTGGGAAATATCGGATTTGGCAAAACTGCCATCATCTCCAGACTTGTGGCCCTTAGCTGCCACGGCACACGAATGAGACAGATCGCCTCCGACAGCCCGCATGCTTCTCCCAAACGTGCGTATTCCAAGACATCTCTCTTTCATTGATGGAAAATGTTTTCTAACATTTATATTAGATAACATGTTCTTTTATTTCTTGGTGTGCCAAATCTGACTTGCATGTGAGTACCATTAATTCAGAGTTGAAAGAAAGAGTACAGTCTTTTGTTTACATTTAATCCAAATAGCCAGCAGTCAGTTAAGTGTGACTGAGGAAAAAAACCCACAAACCTTTTTCTTGGGGAGAAAAAAAAATTATGACTCTTCTCTTCTGACTGTACAACTAGCCTGCCCTTTAGATAATGACTACAGCAACTGCTTGTGGATCCATTTACATCCATCACTGTCAGCTTTTGCTCTTCCTGTGCCCATTTCTTCTTCCTACATGCCAGCACTATCCGATCTGTTTGAGGCCTTCATTTCCTTTGCTGTTGATGTCAGTGTTGCACTGCTTGGGTTTGAGCTTCAGCTGTGTCCTTGGAAGATTTCTCCTGCATTCTTGTGAAAAGGTGCTGTCCTCTGTATTCATGCTTTTTCATCTCTAGCAGGGCACAGCTTATTGATCTAAACACTAGTATAGTGTTTACTTTTTTAAAAAAACCTCTCATCTAGTGTTTACTAGATGCCACATATGCTCTTAAGTACTCTAAAAACATTAGGTAATCCAGTCTACATTGTAACTCAGGGAGGTAGTTCATTTTATCAGTATTTTACATGTAAAGTGTTAGTCAGCATTCCCAGTCTCACACCCAGTAAATGTGAAAGTACAATTCAAGCCCAAGTAGTCTGATTTGAGGCCATTCTTACAGGTATTTTGCTATGCTATTCTACTGATTGGTGGAAAATACTTGTGTATGTTGTTAAGTGCTATCAAGTCATAGACGACTCATAGCAACCCTATGAACGAAAGACCTGAGCACTGTTCCTAGAGTTTCCTGAGGCAAGCTATTTGAGAAGTGGATGCCACTCCTGCTTCCAAGCTTGTTTTAATCAGGAAGCTCCACCAAACACTGTCCACCATGGGTAACCATTGTTGCATTTGGCATATCAGTGACACAGTGTCCAGCATCACAACATCACAGCAACCATGCGTTACCTCTGTACAGCAATGCACAGACCAGTGCTATAACACTTAGAAGAATATTTGACCAAAAACAATTTAAACCTGGCCTAAGGGCTGCAGATTAAAATCACCCACCTTGGGCTTGGTAGCATAACTTTCTGTATATTAGGCCAACGTAGCGCTTTCTGTGTTGTCGTTGTTAATTGCTGTGAGTTGTAGACGACTCATAGCAACCCTATAAATGAAAGACCTGAGCACTGTTCCTAGAGGTTCCGGAGGCAAGCCATTTCGGAAGTGGACGCCACTCCTGCTTCCAAGCTTGTTTTAATCGGGAAGCTCCACCAAACACTGTCCACCATGGGTAACCATTATCGCATATGGCACATCAGTGTCACAATGTTTAGTTTTTCCACTATTCTTTGTATATGGAGAAAAAGGTCACCTGATTTCAGTGAGATAGAAGCAAAGTAAAAAGAAAACTACTGCTCTCTTAGTCCAAATCAGTGACCTCTCTAACCACAGATTTTCAGGCCACACCTACTGTTGTTGTTGTTTTGTTGTGGTTGCTTATTTGAGACCTTAATGGTTACAATTTCAAACCAGTGCTAGAAACGTAATAGACAGTTACTGAATACCATTCAGCCTCTTGTCTTTTTTGTTGAAATTAAGTAGTTGTCTCATGCATTAGGTAGGTAAATTACCTCTCCTAAATATGGATGTCAGTAAGAACTGGATGGATGAAATAAGAACTAGTTTTCTTACTTTCTGGAAGAAAATTGGTTAACCACAGAGTCCTTATTTACTATGGTATAGTAAAAATTGAGATGGAATGATTGTTCTCCTAAAAGTGATATGTTTTATTTTAAAATTAAACCCTTCAGAGATAGATGGCATAGTATTCTGAAAGTCAGGAACTCAGTGTTTCAACTCCAATAATCAAATTGACTATATAGCCTTCAGAAATTTAATTTTTTAGATCTCACTTTGCTCGTCTAGAAGGTAAAAAGTTAGACTAGTTGATATTTAAATTTATACCTTTGTTTAAAATCTGTAATTCTAAAATCGTATTGCCATGGTTAAAAGGAACGTGCCATACCTATTCCAGCAATTTCTTTTGAAGTATTACAAATCTATTAAACCAAACTACTTATCTGAGTAGTCTAAGAGGTTAGCTATATGAGTGTGTCAGAAAGAAAACCAGCTAGCCAATAGTCTCCGATTTCTCTGTATATCACTGTTGCAGATAACAGAATGGTAGAATCATGCATGACAGAGGATAAACCCCAAGGGCAAGAAGACTGCTTTCTCAGAAAGCAAAGGTACCTGGGAATCCCCTAAGGGGGTCTGAAAGAGAGAATTAATAGAAAACAGTCTTTACACTCCCGAAGCAGAAATTCTTTCAAAATAGTTGATTACATTGTTCTCTTGAGCCCATTGCCTTCTATCTACTGAGAAATTTCAAAAGCACTGGGACATTCCCTATTCATGAGATGAGTATCTATCACGTTAGGTAGTTAATTTTTAAAACCTGAAAATGAATCATGAGAAAAAGAATATATGCTATATATTTGTCAGAATTCTAGAACCAACAGTTAGTTACCTAATGCAAAATAATTGTTATTTTACACTGTTGATGCTCAAATTGTTGTACCCTACTCATCTCTGGTGAGTAGAACTGCTAATTTTTTTAAAAGGGTGAAAAATAAGTGACTGATTTAATGCCAACTATTTAGGGTCAGAAAACTGCCGTTATGAGAAATGATGCTGAAAATGTTACTGGCAGCAGTAGAATTTAGTTCATTAATAAGAATTATATCTGTATGTAGAGAGCTAGTTTAATTTTTTCAAGTATAATTGATTTTCAACTCAGTGAGTTTATTTGGAATCCACTGTGTTCTTCTAACCTTTGTCAGTGATACCAGTAATGTAGTAAAAATGGAAGTAACTTGAAAAGTACTGGAGCTCCCAGCTTTCATCTCTACATCATCTACTGTTTTTCTTCTCTGCTTCTGCCTCCTCCACACTGAGCATTGCTGCTGTGGAAGATGTGAGCAGTTGAGCCTGCAGTACTGCACTGCCTGGCTTCCTCCTCCCCCCACAGACATTCACCTCCCAGCCCACCCCCTCCTTGTCATTTCCCTAGGAAAGTACAGAAAAGCTGTCAAGGCAGGCACTAGCCTGTCATCCTGCTTTCCACCTACACCCTTTCCAAACCTAACTCCCCCCATCAGTCCCCTCCATCACCACTGCCACCTACCCCCCAACACCACCCCCAACATACACACAAAGAAGAGAAACATTTTGTGAAAATAGACTTGTTGTGTAATTCAGGCATTATTGTATTACCACAAGTATACTCAGTTCAGTAGTTTGGGGAAACTAATACAAGACTGTATTTTCCTGTTACTGAAAGTCTCTTTGTAGTTTGTTCTTTGAGTTTGACATTTGCCAACAGCTGCCATGTCCCAAACAGCTGTTAAGTAAATAACCCCTACCCTCCCTACTCTGCTCATTTCAGAAGTCTGTTTTGCCAGGCCTTTTATGTGCATAGTGACTGCTGCCTACCAATTAACTTTTATTTCTGCTGTTCTCTGAATACCAAATAGAAATTAAGACTCCCATACACAAAGGAGGACATCTCCAAAAGAGAATAGCTAGAAAACAGTATTCAGACAATAATTACCCACAAAATCAAATCTCAGCTAAGGGGGGAATAGGGTGGCAGGAAGAAATGAATAGCAGACAATATAATGACAATCAATCACCGCAATCTAATTTTAGAGCATCTCCTTTAAAAGAAACCTCATATTCATTAGCAGTCAAATCTTCCACATCTCACACCACACACAAAAATCAACTCAAGGTGGATCAGAGACCTAGGGGTAAAGCCCAAAATCATAACATTCATAAGAGACAAACTGGGATCAAGCTTAGAAGAGCTAGTCCTTGGTATAAAAAGACTGCCAAATACAACCAGAAATGAACATTATAAAGAGGCTAAAACTGATGGCATGGGACCTTCTAAAGATTAAATCCCTGGGCACATCAAAAACTTTTTCCAACAGGGTGAAAAGAAAATCTACAGTCTGGGAACAAACATTGGGTAATACTATCTCAGACAAGAATTTTATAACAAAAGTTTACAGAATACTCCTGGGCCTCCACAAGAAAAAGACTGATAACCCAGTTACAAAATGGGCAAAAGACATGGAAAGAATTTTCACAGAGGAAGATATTCTAATGGCAAACAGACACATGAAGAAATGTTCCAAATCACTGGCATTAAGAGAGATGCAAATCAAAACCACAATGAGGTACCATCTCACTCCAATAAGAGTAGCAAAGTTTAACAGGGCAACACGTAATAGATGTTGGAGAGGATGTGGCGAGAAAGGAACTCTTATACATTGTTGGTGGGGTTGTAAAATGATAAAACCATTCTGGAAGGCAGTTTGGGGCTTCCTCAGAAAGCTGAGCATAGAAATTCCATATGACCCAGCTATTTCATTGTTGTTGTTGTTAAAGTGCTGTTGAGTCATAGGCGACTCATAGCAACCCTATTAGTGAAAGACCTGGACACTTGTATAACTTTCATCCTTTCTCTAGGTTCATAGGGTTTCCAGAGGCAAGCTATTTCGGAAGTGGATGCCTCTCCTGCTTCCAAGCTTGTTTCAATAGGGGAGCTCCACCTAACACTGTCCACCATGGGTAACCATTCTTGCATTTGACACATCAGTGTCACAGTGTTTAACTTCATAGCAACCACGCGTTACCTCTGTACAGTAAGTGGACAGACCAGGGCTATACGACCTAGAAGAATGTTTGACAAAAAATAATTGAAAACACCAATGTTCATAGCAGCATTATTCACTATCACAAGAACATGGAAACTATGGTACATTCACACAATGGAATACTATGCAGCATGCAGGAGCAATAACTTTATAAATTATTACCTAGCCTGTGAGGGACTGGAGAGCATTATGCTGAGTGGCCTAACTCAGTCCCACAAGGATAAATATTGTATAAAACCATTATTGTAGAATGAGGATAAGGATCCAGGAGGAGTAGGAGAGGCAGGAAGCAGAAGGAGTGGATGTGCAGGGGAGGGGGATTAATCATTGGGTTGTACAATTTGATGTGGGGGTGGTGGTGAGGGAAATGGAAACAATTTGTTTGAGTTTTGTAAATAAACTAGTAGGAAAATAAATAATAAAAAAAAAACGAACAACAGTCAAATCTGTTTTCCCTGTACCTTCCCACCCCTTAGCCCTAAGCAGCCATTAATCTTTTTTCTGTGTCTTTGGATCTTCTTTTACTGGGAATATCATATAAACCCATTTATCATACATTTGTGGCCTTGTATGTCTGGCTTCTTTCACTTAACATAATATTTCTGCGGTCATCCATGTTGTAGCATGTATTATTATTTCATTTTTTTTAATTGCCAAATACTACTCCATTATGTAGGTATACCATGTTTTATCTATTCATCAGTTCATGAGCATTTTAGTTGTTTCTACTTTTTAGCTTAAGATTCATGTTTCTGTCAAGTTGTATGTGAATTTTTGGTGCATGTGTGTTTTTTATTTCTCTTGGTTTTATATCCAGAGGTGGAATTGCTCAGTTGTAGAGCACAAGGAGTTTAGCCAATCTCCCTTTATTTAGTTCACAGTTTTATGATTATCTGATAAAAGCATCTCATTTTTCTAATCCAGATGTGGATGCCAACAGAGAGCTGCCATTAACACAGCCACCTTCAGCCCACTCATCTATTACCAGTGGAAGCTGCCCAGGAACCCCAGAAATGCGCAGGCGGCAGGAGGAGGCCATGCGGAGACTAGCCTCGCAGGTATAATACAATGCCCAGTTTAAAAAAAATAAGACACTTTCCTGCCATCAAATCATTTCCAGCTGGTCGTGACTATCTGTTTGGGATATGTTAGTTTCCATTTATTGTCAAGGAGGCAAAGCTACGGAGGTTTTGGCAAACTGAACTATGCCAAAAGAGCAGGAAAAAAGTGTCTCTTTCTTTGTTATTCCTAGAAAAATACTTTTTCATTATTATGGATTAAGAACCGTAGAGTTTAAAGGGCCCTTACAAGTAATCAGAGTCTTAATAATGAATAGAAGCTGAGACTCAGAGAAGTTACATGGTTTTCCCAGATCACACTGTAAGTAATCAATAGTTTGGGTTTTGGTTTTTTGTTTGTTTTTTTTTTTTAATAGTTTGGTTTTTATATTGTTTTTGATTTGGGGATTTTTTTCATT